ATAATTTACTGTATCTCAATTGGTGTACAATATGTTTTCTACTGCAAATCGCAAACGTGCTCGTTTGTATCATTACCACAGATGATTTTCTTTCAGCGACTTTAATAAATTCGGAGACTTGTAGCGACGCAGGGTTCGCCAAATTGTAGTTTTTCAGACTTTATTCTCCTAGTAGATATAGTTCGAACTTAACTTTGCAATTTTTCGCTGATCTCGGTCAAAGAGTACCAAGTTTCTAACGACTGAATATAAAACATCATAATTCCTTGAATTCTCTAAGAAATGGACTTCAAATTTAATTTTTTTCGCAATCTGAGATATCGTAGTTCCAATTAGAAAATGCCAATATTTTGCCTCCTCTCGTTTAAAATATGAAAGAAATCTCGATTATCGCTATAGTCTCATCAAAAGCTAACTTTCAACTCTTGTCTTAACATAAGTATGTTACAATAAGAGGAGATTTTGTACGCATCTTGAACTTTGACGCCAATCACGATGTTTCAGAAGTAGGGAAATACAACAATGCAAAAAAATTCCATAGTTTTTTAGTTTTATACATTTACTTTTTAAAATCAATCGACAAAGAGCTTGGCCAAATGATTTTCTACGGCTTTTCAGCTAATTTTACAAAGACCGAAGCAAAGGGTAGTCAGTCACATGGTAGTCTAGTCTAAGTAGTCGTTGTATCAAAACTTCCCAACCAAGCTCCATTGATATTTGCCTGGTCTGGCGTTGTCAGAAGAAAATCCAAAACCTTTTCTATTGCTCAATTCTGGTCGCTTTTTTTTTAACAGCTTATTGCAAGCTGGTTAATTGTTAACATTTGAGCATAGAATTTAAGGTTTTTCCAGGTTGTAGCAAGTTATAATGGACGATTCTCTTCCAATCCCAGCATACACTACTCTGCATTGCTTTGTTTCCCATCAGTGCGGGGTTTAAAGTCGTCGTGCAGGGTCACCAACTTTCGAACATGATTTTCATGGTACCTTTGTTCATAGTTTTATATGTTAATTTAGGTGGCATCCCAACATCGAGCTTCTTTTGATAGCCAGCATTTTTGTCAGTGATTCCAAACTTTTACGTGGCAGATGCTTTATGTCTCCTAGTTTCTGAGAGCTTGCATGCCGGTTTTGCTCCACCAGTTGCAGAATTTTATCGGTTTTTTTAATGAGTGGCCGACCAGAACGAGGCGCAGCTGTGGCAATAAAATTTCCGGAGTGAAGCCAAGCAAACCACTACAATTGTTCTTCGATAAAGGTGAAAACACAAGCAAGGCAGCTCAGATTGTGTGCAGTGCTTATAGTCCCCATACTGCAACACTCGCATCATGCACAATTTGGAAATAATGGAAATCGTCGAGTTAGACCATCATGGAGCACTGTTTCGATTACCCAAAAGCTAAACATTGAACACAAACCGGTTTGGATACACGTGAGTTAACGGGAAAACCCTCATGGATCGAGTTTTCATCAGTAAATCGCAGCTGAATCATAGCGAAGTCGCGCCATCTTTGAAGCGACAAACGAAAACAATTGTTTGTCGAAGGGTAGTGAGCCGGCACAAACGATCTCGGCGCCAGCATTGACGGTTTCGGTGTGTCTTTGGTGAGATTGGCTAGGAATCATCTACTAAGATCTACTCTCACACGGCGAAACTCTTAATTCCGGCCTATATTGTCAGCAATTGGATCGTCTGTAGGAAGCAACCCTCTAATCGCCCAGCTTTGGCCAACAGAATGGGGAATTGTGTATCATTAGGATAACGTCCCAGACCTCAAAAGTCGATATTGACTCGCTGGAAGTTTCGACTTTGTAGTCTGGAACCCGCACCAAGTGACTGCGCTCTGTTCCTGTCTATGGCGAATGAATAGTTGGCATCAAGAGAAGCCAGTGAAAGTCGATTGCACCAATGTTTCGCCAATAGAGACAAGGGTTTCTATGAGAGAGGCACTTCACCATCGCAAATCAGTGCATATTTGACATAATTCGATTAATTCTAGATTTTAGATATTTAGTGGAAACATAATGGATTGCTTTTTACTAGACCATAATTTATATTGCTCTTAATATCGGTTCAGATTGCTTTAAACCACTCAACATTGTTTCAAAATTTTTGGTATCGATTTGAAAATATTCAAACTGCGCGTAGTATATTTTTAGGCTGTTAAATTACTTTACTTTTTTATCGCACTTTATTGATTAATGTAATTAGAATTTAATTTTGATTTATTCTTTCTACTTTTTCCACTGCTTACAAATTTTCCAATTAAAGCTTTGAGCTTAACTAATTACACAGGTCAAGTTCCATGAAATCGCAGCAAATAGTTTGCACTTGTAAAGTATATACATACCTGCATACATACATACATACATACATACATACATACATACATACATTGCTACGTATTTTCATCTCAAATGCAATTTTTTCAATCAATACACCACTTCAGCATTACATACGTACATATGTACGTACATACATACATACAAACGCCACATTTCACCACACTCAACAATTTGCGAATGCGAAATTTCATTTGGAATTCCACGAAGTCTCTTGTATGCGTTTTAGTTTGATAAGAACGGTGTCCTCGTTTTCGCTGCTTTAAATTTAAAAATTTTATCAACTTTTCCTCTCAGAAACGAGCTTAAGTTTTGAACACATATAGAAATATTATATAAAGGGTGTTTTTTTAGACACGTAGTGATGAGTGTGTTAAATCTCACGATCTTGAAGGCCACGCCACAGGCCCGCGAGCCGACATAATAATCTGACCGAAAATATCCTTCTATAAATTGAGTGTTTCGTTGGCTGTATGGGATGAAAGGATTCAGGCACGAAATACCCGAAATTCAGTGATTCCCTCTGTCTATAGAGAACACCAAACAGTGACTTTTTATAAGCGTAACTATTTAACCAAAAGTGAGCTTCAACGCTGCACAAAATTGTCTTGTGAAAATCGGGATCGGTGACCACCTTGTTTTGACCCATTCCTTAATTTAATGGTTGTTAGGTTTCAAAACGTACTGTACGAGTTGAATTTTGTAAACCCGCAAACCCAGTTCCTTCCGCAAAGTCTTTCATAAAATCGATGGCGGGTGGGCTTGTACGAGCCTTCTTCGATACTTTGAGTCTTCTGTACGCAATGTGTGGCGTCTCTGAGTATGCGCATTATTGACTAGATTAAACGAGGTACGAAGCCGAGCCATGGTTGCTCCATTAACCGACTCTGGTGAGCGATTCTGTCGACCGAATATCGAACGTAGCGCGCGGTATGTCGCTCGAATCGAAACAATGTTTTGATAATAAATTGGCAAAAAAAAAAAATGTTCCAATTTAATTTAATTACTTTTGAGCAGGTGGGAACAAATGTTTGAATATTAAGTTATTTTAGGTCATGTTATACCCCTTCCAAAGAGCTCTTGCTACTTTGCAGTGCTGGACGGAGACTCAATTTAATTCGAGGTGAAGTAGTCATCGTATGGTTGGCATTGCATACTGCCATTCGGAAGGTCAGGGTTCGAGTTCTGATTCGCCAGAGAATCTCATGCCTTCTACATATATTTCTAAGATGAAATCCAAAAGCTCTTCCAAAAAATACATGGGCGCCTCGGAGGTTGTTTTGTATAAACTGTAGGTCTCTCCATTTGTTGGAATAACATCAAGACGTATACCATAAATTGAAAGAGGAACTCTTCAGCGGTTACAAAGTGCCAATGACTGTGCGCTTTTAGTTAAGTTTAAGACCGCATTGGTATCCACATTCGAAACCTCTCCTACTTAGTTCCCTGAACAGCGATGCTTCTAGATGTTTAAGACGAGTTCTCGTTATATATAAGTCGGTACAGAAACAGAGTTAGTGTTCCAACGCTTATCTACATTTCCTGCTTGGGTATGCGCGATGACCTTTAAAGATAGCGTAAGTCGGTGTACTTTCCTTCATGCCATTGTCATTCGGCATGATCTTGGCGGACTGAATGTCATTAAGACATTTTAATTCACCTCGATCTTATTTATTTACTGTACTGGCGTAGACACCGCTTACGCGATTTTAGCCAAACTTATAATATTGCGTCATTCATTCCTTTATCTCGCCGCTTGGCGCCAATTGGAGTTCACTTAACGATAATTTCATTATATACAATTTTTACCAACGTTCGTAATTCAAAAATTGGCTCAGTCCCCATATAGTTGGCGCTTTTGAAAATCTTATCAACTATTTGGTTCTCCCACAATGCTCTTGCCACTAGACATCAGGTAGGTATGAAGTTGCTTCCATGCAGCCAGCTTATCCAATGTCCCACATGCTAGGACTTAATAGAGAGTTAAATGGTCTTTCTACCGCTAAGAACTCCGAAAGTTTAAAGAGTTGCCAGAGATCTATCTCAGCGCAGTATTTACCGGCACCCTCTCCATCAGCCTTTGTTGACTCGTCATGTAATTTTTGCCGGCGGAACGCGTGTTCCTGCGCCATTCATGCTCTCTCGATGTGGCTTGAAATCTCCTCTCTCGCGAGAGTTTGTTATCTATTTTGTCCACCACTGAGCTATGTATCGAACGAATACCCAATTGATTAGTAATCATATTTCACGCAATTCATGAGTACTTAGTTAAATATATATGTAGCTTTGACGCATCGTTTAATGCACAATTTTATCATTTATTATTATTTATTGTCTTATCCTTATTATAATCGCATTTTTATGTTCAATACTTTATTTGCAAATGCTTAAACCAAGCGCACTGCAGCAAAATATCGATAAAAGGCTTTTATACGAGTACGAGTATGCATACATAATGTGTACATATATATTTTACATATTTATATCTATATACATTTGGATGAGTCATCTCTTCTTTAAGTATTTATAATCCTTACCCAAACCATATATAATAAAAAAAATACATACTCGCACATACACGTGTACATACATATTTATTTAAATTTGAATATTTTGCATTATTATTAATATCACTTTCGTGTCATTTCTTCTTTGCAGAAAACGAGCTGGGCACAAAATGCATCGTGGAGATGGACAAACAGCAGACAATTCTGCAAAATCCGCCATCGCTAGACAAATTGGAGAGGTGAGCATGAGGGGCATCGACATGCATCTATATTTATAATATGATTTTGCTATATACATATAATGCATACATGCATACATATATACTTACAGAGCACAATAAAGCTTACTTTGTAAGCTAAAATAGTTGCGCTAAAGGAAAGTTTTGTATGCAAATTTATTGAATTTGAATTTGAATTGGTGTCCTTGTAGGAAATTCAATAAAAAGTATGGCATTTTATCCTTCACGGAATGGGAAATAACATGGCAAAGATGTTAAATTTCAACAAACTGAAGATTCTCATTTAGGAAATTTTGCATTTTTTTATTTTCTTTACTCCACAATCTGCTGCATTACCAACTTTTCTGCTCCTTTTGACGATCTTGCTTTGGTTAAAAGGGTTTGCCAGCATCAAACAGACAGTATGTTTTTCATTAAAAAGCGGCCGCGGTAGCCGAGTGGTTAGCATTGCGTACTGCCGTTCAGAAGGCTGCCACCAACATCCAAAAGTTATGGAAAATTAATTTAAATAAAAAATTAAGTTAAATTTTCTGATTGCGGTCGCGCCTTGGCAGGGAATGTCCACCTCTCCGAGTGTATTTCGGAAATGAAATAAGGACTCCTCGTAAGAAAACCATCAGTCGTTCGTAGGCAGCTTAGTATGAACTGTAGGTCCCACCATCTGTTGGAAAAACATCAAGACGAAAAACCACAAATTGGAGAACAAGCTCGGCGGAAAGCGTTTACAAAGTGCCATTTAATATATTATTATAATAAAATTAAAGGCATCTCTTTAGAAATACCGCCGATCTTCAAATATCTAAAAACCTCCGCGGCTACGCCATAGTTACCAATGAGTGCTAACGAACGACTCCAGTTAATATTCTACTAAAAATATTAACCTCCCGTGACATTTCAAGAATGAAGTTGTTTAAACAACAACAATAACTTCATTCACGACAAGTTTCCTCATATTTCCACCACTCTCAGTCATTGATGGATAATTTTCGATTTCCTAAGGAAACACAAGGCCGAGGGATGGCCGACCGTGCACTGACAAGGTGCATGCTTCTTTGCAGAGTCTGTTCTAATGAAAGCATGCTTGAAGATTAAAACCTAAGCATTACTGCTGGTTAGGCCTCAAGAATTTACCCGTGGTAAGGCATACCTGTCGTAAGAGGCGACCAGAATCCTCGCCAAATCTTCGATCCGTGTGGTCTTTATACCGCAACGAAGCGGATTTTTATCACTCCCGAAATATTCTGCGAAAGCCCATTCTGGGAATATTTTTGCACTTTACTACAGCAGGAACAACAACAACAACATTAAATTTCAAGTGTGCTCTACTAAATCCGCAAAAAAAGGTCGATCTGCGCCAAGTAAGCCTCCTTAATATCGCCTATAAGGTTCTATGGAGCGAAAGACTAATGCTCGCCGTCAACAAACTGATTGGACCTTATCAATGGGGCTTCAGACCTGGTAAGTCAACCATTGACCAGATATTCAACCCTCGCTAAATCTTCGACCCGTTAACAAAGGCTCGACACACACCACCTCTTCGTCGATTTTAAAACATCAACATCACGAAAGGTGGCTGTCTCTACACCGCTGAGTCTAAATTTAGTATCCTCGCCAAGCTTATACAGCTATGTAAACTGACCTTAAGCAACACCAGAAGCGCAGTCGGAATTGGGAAAGACCTCTTCGAGCCTTTGGATGCAAAACGAGGTTTCAGAAGGATCTGGAAGTGAACGAGGGCAAGGCGAAATATCTCCTAAAGGACAAACAGCCATCGCATTCACGCCTCTGCTCCCACGTCACTATTGACGGTGATAACTTTGAAGTCGTAGAAATTTTTGTCCATCGTGGAACCAGCATTAGCACCAACAACAATAGCAGCCTTGAAATCCAGTGCAGAATCACTCTTGCTAATAGGTGCTACTTTGGACTGAGTAGACAATTGATCTTGTCTCGAAGAACAAAGACCAGACTCTGCAAGTACCTCATCATTCACGTCCTGCTATCTGGTGCGGAGGCATGTACTATGTCGAAATCTGATGAGTCTTGAGAGTCTTCGAGAGAAAGGTTTTGCAAAAGATTTAACGTTCTTTGCCTTTTGTAAATGGCGAATACCGTAGACAATGAAACGATGAGCTGCACAAGATGTTGGGTGAGTGAATAGACAGCGGTTACGCTGACTAGGTCATGTGGTCCGATTGGATGAAAGCACTCCAGCTTTGAAAGTATTCGATGCAGTACCCGCCAGTGGAAACGGAAGGACCTGGCAGCACTTGGTATTTCCAATTGGCGCCAAGCAGCCAAATACTCGGCTATAAGCTAGTAAAGAATAAGAAGAAGAAGAAGTGATACTCTCTGAAACTTATGTCTTGTAGTTTCAGCTGGCACCCAGCACCAATCAATTACGTAAAATAAAATTTATTTCCTACCATACCTCGCATTCGTAGAATTTTCCTGCAGAACACAAAGCAATTTTAGCTGCAAACTTGTCATGACTGGCATTGATTTAATGTTGGCGCACGTGCTCCTATGGATAACTATATGACTATATGACTATAATAATTGAAAAAAAGAAAAAGAAAAAAAATTGATTTGTCATTCACCAAGGAGCTGAGCTTCTACTTTGCAAATTTCTTACATTTATAAATGCAATGATTACAGTTTTAATTTTATTTTCCATATCTTTACAGGAAACCACCCAAGACATTTGCATTCGATCATTGCTTTTACTCTTTAAATCCCGAAGATCAGAATTTCGCCTCACAAGAGACCGTATTCGATTGTGTGGGGCGTGATATACTCGATAATGCATTCCAAGGTTATAATGCCTGCATATTTGCCTATGGCCAAACGGGTGAGTAACCTCAATATACTTATGTATAGTATATGTAAAAATTAAATTATTATTATTTTCATCATTTTTATTTCACTCTTTTCACCTCTAGGCTCTGGCAAATCATACACAATGATGGGTTCACTCGAATCGAAAGGCATCATACCACGCCTTTGCGATGAACTCTTCTCTGCCATTGCCAATAAGTCAACACAAGATCTCATGTATAAAGTGGAAGTCTCCTATATGGAAATCTATAATGAGAAAGTACATGATTTGCTCGATCCCAAACCAAATAAACAATCGCTTAAGGTGCGTGAACACAATGTATTGGGTCCGTATGTGGATGGTTTGTCACAATTGGCGGTATCTTCATACAAGGATATTGACAATTTAATGACGGAGGGTAATAAATCGCGTACAGTTGCTGCTACAAATATGAATGCCGAGTCGTCACGTTCACATGCCGTCTTCTCGGTGGTGCTAACACAGATACTAACCGATCAGGCGACCGGTGTGAGTGGTGAGAAAGTGTCACGTATGTCGCTTGTGGATTTGGCCGGTTCGGAGCGTGCGGTGAAGACTGGCGCAGTTGGCGATCGTCTAAAGGAGGGTTCCAACATAAATAAGTGAGTTTAAATTGTAAGAATAATGGAAGAAAATGTTGCGTATGGCGACAACATGTACTGAGATTGAGCTTCACCTGACTTAATAACATAAAGTACAAGAATTCGTTGAAAGCATTTATTAGATTGAAAATATAGTTAACTTATTTTCGTTTCAAATGAAATGTAAAAAAACGTTGCCGACATTTAGGCGTTATTAATTTAGTTGCCAAATCTTATAGATTAATGCCCGCATGCTTTCTATAAATCAGCTGGTTAACAGAATCAATTAGATTATTCGATTTTCGGTTTATATTGAAAAGCTTTTCTAATTAATTTATCCGTGAAAATAAAATAAATAGATGCCTATATTCAGGCGCATTGATATTAAAATTTTGTAAACTGTTCCAAAATGATCTAAATATTTTGCAAAAAAGGCGTCCGCAATAACCGATCGGTACGTCTTTCCATTCTGAAAGCCAAAGTTCGAGTCCTGGTAAGACAAACATTTAAAATTATATAAACTTACTTACCTTCGGCAGGGAATGTCAAGCACTCCGATTGTATTTCTGTAAAAATTCATCACCGGCCGTTCATGGGAATAAACTGTAGGTCTCTCCATATGTTTGGAAAATCATTACGACACACTCCACAAATATATGGAAGAGCTCATCTCACTAAAAATTAAAAAAAAATCTCTTTCCAAACAGATCACACCGCTCATTTTTTACTTCTTTAAATTCTTCCATAACATTATTTTAAAAAGCAGAATAAAAAAAAATATTTTCATTAACTCTACTTCTATACCCTACCAGATCACTCACCACCTTGGGTTTGGTCATCTCCAAGCTGGCCGATCAGTCGAATGGCAAGAAGGGTAGCAACGACAAATTCGTACCCTATCGTGACTCGGTACTCACATGGCTGTTGAAGGATAACTTGGGCGGTAACTCCAAAACCGTTATGGTCGCCACAATATCACCATCCGCAGATAATTATGAAGAAACACTCTCCACGCTACGATATGCTGATCGCGCCAAACGTATCGTCAATCATGCAGTGGTCAATGAGGATCCAAATGCACGTATTATACGTGAATTGCGTTTGGAAGTGGAGGCGTTACGTAATATGTTGAAACATGCGACCGGTTCGCCGGTGGGCGATGTACAACGTGTGGATATACACGATAAATTAGCCGAAAGCGAGAATTTGATGAAACAAATCTCACAAACGTGGGAGGAGAAACTGGTGAAAACCGAACGCATACAAAATGAACGTCAGCAAGCGCTCGAAAAGATGGGTATTAGCGTGCAGGCGAGCGGCATTAAGGTCGAGAAGAATAAATATTATTTAGTCAATTTGAATGCTGATCCGTCCTTGAATGAGTTGTTGGTCTATTATTTAAAGGTGAGAAATATTAATGTCTAACAAAATATTTTTCTTCCACTTTTTCTTTCGTCTATTTTATTAACATTCCAAAACACCATTATGTTTCTTTGCACAGGAGCGCACTTTAATTGGCGGTCATAGCATTTCCGGCCAACAACCTGACATACAACTATCCGGCCTTGGTATACAACCTGAACATTGTGTAATTGTTATTGAAGATGGTGGACTCTTTATGGAACCCATACAGGGTGCACGCTGTTTTGTAAATGGCTCAGCAGTGCTGGAGAAGACGCCACTACTCAATGGCGATCGTATTCTATGGGGTAATCATCATTTCTTCCGCGTTAATTGTCCGAAAAGCGCTAATGCCAATATGATTTCGGAGCCACAGACTCCAGCACAGTTAATTGATTATAATTTTGCGCGTGATGAGATAATGCAAAATGAGCTGAGCAATGATCCCATACAGACAGCCATTGCCCGACTAGAGCGTCAACATGAGGAAGACAAGCAGGTGGCTTTGGAGAAGCAGCGACAGGTGAGTGAGCATGACAAAGCAATATAAAACGATTATGCATTTATGATATGCAAATGAATATAAAAATAATAATATTTGTCTGTTAAATGTCTGTTGTACGCCTAAAAGTATGCCGAAAGTATTTTGTTTAATTAACACACCCATCATTTTGCAGGAGTACGAGCGACAATTCCAACAATTGCGTAATACTTTATCACCCAGCACACCGTACGCGCCCTACACGCCATATGATCCCTTACGTTTGGGTAAAATAACGCCGAACACACCTACATCGCAAATGCGTGTAGAGAAATGGGCACAGGTATGTGTAAAAGATTAATTATGCGGTATTTGGTTTCGCATTGATGAAAAAGGAAATTAAAAACTAATTTAATATTATTTTTTACAGGAACGTGATGAGATGTTTAAACGTTCGTTGGGTCAATTGAAAAACGATATTATGCGCGCCAATGCATTGGTGCAGGAGGCTAATTTCCTTGCCGAGGAAATGGAGAAGAAAACCAAATTCTCAGTTACATTGCAAATACCGCCAGCAAATTTGAGTCCAAATAGGCGGGTAAGTTGTTGAATTTTGGGTGGCGTTAATAAGTTAAAAAAAAAAGTTTATAACCTTAGTTCATCTGAATAATGTCGCGAGTATAGAATATGAGATATTTATTAACAGAAATGAGCACAAAAATTGCAAGAAAATGCAACTTTAATGTGATTTTTTACAAATTATTAGTTTGAAGACTGGATTTCTCTCCAAAATTTCATAAAATAAATTTTATTTCGGTTTTTGGTTATTGGAAAGTCCGTCTTATTGGATCACAGACCTATTCTGGGCGCTTGATAAATTCACCAGCTTGCTTATTTATCAAGATTTTTCTATTCTGTGTCAAAGATAGAATGCTCGTTTCTTGATAAGGAGATGTCAAACGCTCTTGACAAAGTTTTTTTTTTTTACAAATACAACATCTTTTTACTGTTTGCGCATAGTTGTGAATAACAAAAAGTAAGAAAGGAAGATATATATTTTACATATATTGTTAAGAGATAATACATTTGCGCAAAATTTTCGTTTGACTTACGAAATTCGCCGCCATCTCATAGCTGAGCACCACTGTCTTTAATCATAAGAGTGCTGATGGGTTTAAACTTCTTTGGGTATGCAGGCAACTTGCCCATGAGTCAGTTGTTTCTTTCCGGAAGTTTACCTATTGTAAAGATGAAGGGAGGGAAATAAAATTACCCAGCTCGGCAGTGATGTAAGAACAGGGTATTTTACTGCAAAAAGAAACCATTTAAGCTAATTTATTTCAATAGTATTCCAGCCTCTAAGGCCAGTTAAAGAACCTAAATCCTTCTAAGAAAAAGTACAAAAAACTAAAGAGTTCCGGTCTATTAAGTATGTACTACATATGTACATGAAGGTGAAACTCCTACGTTCAGATATATTTCATCTCTACAGTTACTAAATAATCAAAATGTAAACATTTTCACATTTGACTTTCCAAGTATATGTACTACAATTATGTAGTACAACTACACATATTTGTTTATTTATTTTTTCTTTATTCTAAAATAATTAATGTTAGCAAAAAAGCATTTCATTATTCACCACACGTGTGGGGAAAGCGCAAAAAACTGAAGCTTTAGGTTTTATCAAGATTGACACAGAATACCAAATAAATTCTTGATTGATAAAAAACTTGACAAAATATCCATATTTCGATAATTTGTCAAGTGCACAGAATATGGCTGCTAGTCAAATTATAGCAAATATTAATTTCCCATGTAAAATTTTTTGCGAAAGCATATTATTATTATAGAAGAAGATTAATGAAGAATATTTAATAAAAACCAATAGATTTAGACTTCTATTTTCAATAAAAAAAAATTAAGTTTAATATCAACTTTCTGAAACTCGGTTTTCCTGGATTGAAACCGTCGGCATCTACTCATCTCAATATTGAAGGTTAAATCTGAGGTTATTCAGATTGTACTTCGATATCAATTAAAGTAAGCTGAACGGCATAATTTAAATCATTTTTTTTTTTTTACTTTATATATTGGGATCTCGTTGATTTGATTTCATAATCTAAAGTAGACTAACAAGAAGTTTCTGGTAAGATCGCTGCCAAATATAAAAAATAAAAACCTTTCGCCTGTGTACACTCAAGCAAGGTATGCGATATTTTGCTAAGCTTTGTTCGTACATATTTTGAATCACGAGAACGTAAGTTATGTCAAGCTGACCTCAACTTTTCATGAAGCGGTCATTTTTAAAAACATGAAAATCACAGTAATTCAGTAATTAAATGAGCGAGCAAAGACAAATCGAAAAATATGTAGGGTGAAAACAAGTTTCGGCTTGGCACCTACCATATTTGGGTCAAAAAGTATATTCCAGCCATTGGACCGTGGTCAGAACTCGAAAAAAATTAGTATTTTATAATTATTATAGTCTAGGCACAATTGGACTACAACTACACCTTCGTTCCATTTCACGGACATTTTTTTACTTTCCAAACTCCGCTTGATTCAATTGATTCAAGAACGAGTTTTAGGGTTTAATCATCAGAGCTCAGCCAAATTTGGTAGTTATGCTAAATATTACTGACAAAGGTCAATTAAAGATAACTTGCACCAAAAGAACTGAAAAGTAATATAAGTCTAAAGTTAATCCGAAGTACAGTTTAAAAGTGTCAAGCAGACCATTGTGAAGAGGTTTGAAAGAAAATAAACACCGCTTACAGTCTAGTTTAGGACAGTGCGTTATTCCTTGCTTCTTCTCTTTGTTTTGCGTCAAATTGGTCTTCCTTATCCCCTGCTTCCACCGGCGGGAACTGCATCGAAAAGTGTCGATGTTAGAGTGTTCTCATCCATTCGGACTATAAGACCTAGCCAGCATAGCTGCTGTCTCTTTAATTAGCTGAACAATTTCAATGTCGCTGTATATCTCGCACGGCTCATCGTTGCATCGACGGCAGTATTCGCCATTGGCAATAAGCAAAGGGCAATAAATCCTACGCTAGAACTTTCTTTCCTAACGCCAGCTCATCGGATGTTGTCATGGTCATGGTCATGGTCATACCTCCAATCCTTACAGGAGAAAGGGAATATTGATTTACTTGCAGATGAGTTTCGTCTTTGCACTTCGAGAGAGGTCCAATTACCTACTCAGTCCAAACTGGTACCTGCTGGTAAGAGTGCTTTTGTGTTGGATATCAAGGCTGACATTGTTGTTGGTTTTAATGCTGATTCCAAGATAGATGAATACAACTTCAAAGTTGTTGCTGTGAATAGTGACGTTTGATGAATGTGATGACAGCAGATAAAATAAATTTTGAAAAACTGTTATTTTATTCTATTTACTTCTCGAAGTAGAACTTTAGAATGAACTTTTTTTAATATTATTTTATTAAGCTTAGAATATGAATCTGTTGGTATATTTTAGTCTAGTTAATATATTCCAATCTCAATTCATTTCTTTTTATTTTTTATTCCTTTATTCCTTCAGCGCGGTGCTTTTGTCAGCGAACCAGCCATTTTGGTTAAACGCATCAATTCCGGCAGTCAAATTTGGACAATGGAGAAATTGGAAAATAAATTAATTGATATGCGTGAAATGTATCAGGAGCACAAAGAGCGTAGTTTGAATGGTTTGGTAAGTGCTTCCACGCCGCTCAATTCATATCGTACAAAACTTGTTTTTTATTACCTTGTAAATAAATTTTAAAATTGTTAATTTTTACATTTTCTAACTGTAGTATTGTATTAAATCATTTCTGCATTTCTGCATTTCTCCATTTTTACTAACCCATTTACAATTCGCTCAAATCATACGGCATATACAAAATCAAAACTAAAAAAAAATGTAAAATTTAAGCCTGTCGTTGAAACATACTCTGACGATGAAGACAGCGATGAGGTAATTGTTTCTTACTCTTACTCTTTCGCACCAGCACACATGCCTATCAATTGACAAGCACAAATTACTTTAATCTCTCTATCAACACTAGTACACATAATTTAGTGTTTATACTAATTTCTGTTCATTTTTAGGAGAGTGAGAACTCCAAATCGTTGGATCCTTTCTACGAGTCGCAAGAGAACCACAATCTTATCGGCGTCGCTAATATATTTCTTGAAGTACTCTTTCATGATGTTAAACTAGACTATCACACACCCATAATCAGTCAGCAAGGTGAAGTTGCTGGTCGACTTCAAGTCGAAATTCAACGTATTGCTGGACAAATGCCACAAGATCGCATGTGCGAATCGATTTCTGAGTCTTCAACTGATTCACGCGATGAGTACGATGATCCTGTCGATCCCATGTCCAATCAAATCACCTGTCGTGTCTCGATCAAGAGTGCCACCGGCTTGCCACTCTCACTCTCCAATTTCGTTTTCTGCCAGTATACATTTTGGGGTCATCAAGAGACTGTGGTGCCCGTGATTAACGCTGAAGCGCCATCACACGATCAAAATATGATATTTAAATTTGAGCATACTAAAGATTTCACCGTAGCCATTAATGAAGAATTCTTGGAGCACTGCATTGAGGGTGCTTTGTCGATTGAGGTTTGGGGTCACCGTAGTGCCGGTTTCTCCAAGACCAAGGGCTGGGAGGTGGAGCAACAGCAGGCTAAAGCGCGTTCGTTAGTCGATCGTTGGGCGGAATTGTCGCGCAAAATTGAGCTGTGGGTAGAGATACATGAGTTGAATGACAATGGTGAATATTCACCCGTCGAAGTGACAAACCGCACTGAAGTGCTCACTGGTGGCATATATCAGTTGCGTCAGGGCCAACAAAGACGGGTGAATGTACGCGTGAAGCCAGTGCAAAACTCCGGCACATTACCCATAATCTGTCAATCCATCGTGAACATTGCAATCGGTAGTATTAGTGTGCGTTCACGGCTACAACGACCACTCGACTCGTATCAAGAGGAAGATCTAACAGTGTTGCGTGAGCGTTGGAGTGAAGCGCTTGGTCGCCGGCGCTCACATCTTGACCAACAGATACAGAAATTAATCAAGAAAGAGGAGAAGACCGAAGAAGAGCGTGAACGTGAATTGAGTTTGGTGCATCAGTGGGTCTCATTGACCGAGGAGCGTAATGCAGTTTTGGTACCGGCGCCAGGCTCGGGTATACCCGGTGCGCCAGCCTCATGGGAGCCACCGGCTGGCATGGAACCACATGTACCAGTGCTATTCCTGGATCTAAATGCTGACGATATGTCTGCACAAAATACCAATGATGAATTCTCTGTTGCCGGTCAAAACTCGATACTCTCCAAAGAACATGGTCATAAATTCTATACATTACAAATATTGCAACATCTCGAAAAGGATGTCTGCTCAATTGCCAGTTGGGACTCGTCCATGCACGACAGTCAGGCTTTGAATCGTGTTACCGAAGCAAATGAGCGTGTCTACTTAATACTGCGCACCACTGTGCGGCTCTCACATCCAGCTCCAATGGATTTGGTGTTGCGCAAACGCATTAGTATAAATATTAAGAAAGGACCAAGTATTACGGATCGTTTGAAAAAATTCCGTTTAGTGCGTGGCGAAAATGCCATATTGCAGACGGGCGTCACATATGAAGTCGTCTCAAATATTCCAAAGGCATCCGAAGAGTTGGAAGATCGCGAATCGTTGGCACAGCTCGCTGCAAGCGGTGATGACTGCTCAGCAAGTGATGGTGAAACTTACATCGGTGAGTTGTAGTTTTTCATATACTCTCGTATATTTTTAACGCTTGCCTCTCTTTTTTTGGTTTTTGTTTTCAACACAGAAAAATACACACGCGGCGTTTCAGCTGTCGAGAGCATATTAACGCTCGATCGCTTACGTCAAAGCGTAGCCGTTAAAGAATTGGAGACTGCGCATGGCCAACCGCTATCAATGCGCAAGACTGTCAGTGTGCCCAACTTCTCACAGGTACTGTATGCCATACCCCACATACCATCTGTAATACACAAACGTATATATGTATTTGTAGTTGCGCCACAAATCACTACAAAACACATTGTAGTTAGTTTGTGTTATTACAACACATATGCTTTATAATTTTTATTTTTTTCTGCCAAAATTCTCAATTCACCATTTTAGCTGCTTCTCTATATAAAAGTATATACGTTTATATAAATTATTTAACCAATTATTGATTTTGAATTCGTATCTATTAACTATATACCAAGCTCTAAAACAAAATTCTTCTTTTTCTCACTTTTTTGCGCTTTCACCTTATAAAAAAATCAAAAAAAAAATACCAACTGAACTAATCTTAACAAAATTTGTAATAACAATATATATATATATATATAAATATGTGTTTTGTCCTCACCAAATGTCGATTAAAAAAAATTTAAATTGTACCACCTCACCTACTATATACTCGTACTACTACTACAAATTATTAACAAACTAATTACCCACCAATAAACAAACAATAACAAAAAAAAAATATTGAAACAAACAATATGAAATATTTGAAAAATTGAATTTAAATTACAAAAATTATGAAATAACCGCCGTCTGCACATACAACACATTTGATACACGTTCGTAAATTTGTAATTGTGTATAAACAGACGGTTAAAGAAACAACAACTGGAAGTGTAAGTATGCAAGAGCTGTGCAACATCAAATCAAAATTATTTTTACAAAACAAAAAAAAATTAAAAAAAAAAATACAATGAAAGTGAAGCATCGAAAGTGGATTTGGAAGATATTAGTAGATTTTTTTTTTGGCAATATTTGTGACTGGTGTCTGTTGACGTATTAAAAATTTCTATAGGAATGTAAAAACCAGTAAACTTTGGTTTGCAGTTTAACTGTATTCAATTTTTTTATTAACTTTTCTTTGAATCGAGTAAAAAGTGTTGTAGTATTTGTAGTAACCGTAAAAATATTCCGCAAATTGGTCTATAGATCCACTTCTGCAAACAGTCTTCAGAAACTTGCTTTTTAAGCTTATCAACTTCAGTATTAACTGCATTAATTATCTCCTCGTTGCTATTAAAACCTCTCCTTTTAAATTATTTATCATTTTTGCAAATAACCATAAATCACAAGTTGCTATGTCCGCGTCGTCATCATGTAAAAAGTAGTCTCACAAATCCTCTATTTTCCGACAAATTTATGAAAAATTTCGGTAAACTATCCTCGGTGTACCATTTTCCAGTTACCGTCTGACCCTTTTCCAGTGGAATAGCAGCCAAAATTTTAGATCGGGTGAAGTAAACTTAGATTTTTCGGGTGGGTTAGCTCCTGTTGTGCTTTATACCATGGTCTACTGTTTGGTTTCTAAAACCAAGATTCGTCACCAGTAACGACTTTACTAACGTTGCTAGACTGATCATTTTCGAATTTGTTTAGGAAAAATTGCGCAAAAAACACTCGAGCTTCTTTTGGGCCTAATTTAACATTCGTGGTACCCATCGAACAGATTTCTTCGTGTTTCCCAAATGAGTACTTAATATTCGCGATGCAATCGTGGTATTCAAGCCCAATGCATTAGCAAACATTTCTTGTGTAAATCGTGAACTACAGTGACGTCATTACAGGAAGATTTTGGTCGACTTTCTTAGAGCTCGTCCTCTACGGAAAACTGTCCGGTCTGGAATCTTCGGATCTATTTAGAAATAGATTTTAAAGTCGATGCAATCGTTGCGTATGCAATTGGGCTTCACTGAATATTTGTATTGGCTATAAATTACGCCGCAACCCGAAGAGAATCACGTGGCAAATTTTTGTTTTAGCCGATCGTTCTAAAATTTGAAACAAAAGCAAGGTGAAAGTCACCAACTGACCAACCCTTTGTTAATCCTCTCGTATTGAGCTTGTGTGTAATTTGAAAATTAATACAGATGCCACCGAATATACAGTTTTTATTCCAATGTTTAGTAGGTCACTTTTATGTATCAAGTCTATAGTTGCAGCACAACACCAAAACAGATCTAAAGACCAAAATTTTTTTTAATGAATCGACAGAGAAAGCCAACGAAAAATTGTATATATCGTTTAAATTACAATTGCAGAGAGTACACTTGCGAATCCACTTTGTATGTGCCACTCTTCAATGTATGTGTGTGTGTTTTATATGTATGTATGTGTTTGTTTCATACTTTTTTACGATATTTAACTTTGGTTACACAAACTTTTTCGTATATCCTTTTGCGTTTATATATATATTCTTAAGTAAATAATTGCATTTGATTAGCAGAAAATGTAGTTTTTAGTAGAAGCGAAAAAAACAAAAATAACTAAATTCTAGACAGCATTAATTGTTTTGTACATTTTCAATAACACTTTTCTACAAATATCTTCAATATAGCTTATGCGTTTCGATGCCTCAATGGAATCATTGCTAAATGTCGGACGCTCTGAATCGTTTGCAGATCTCAATAATCAAACATTAAGCTCCAAATTTCCAGGTAAAAATCATAATAGCACTACAGTAGAGTACAATGGATAATTATATTTATTTTATTTCTCAACTCAACTGCAGCACACCCAGCCATACGGGACTTTGGCACACGCAATCGTCATAGTTTTGGCGGCAAGGGCAGTAATGATGAGCCGCCGTGCAAACCATTTGGCATTGGTAAGAATGGCTTCATGTGCGCTCACATGCACATTACAATATTTATTTTTAAAACTCTTTTATAATGTAAGATTTAATTGAAATTTTCTTTTCTTTGTGTACACTTTGGTTGTTTACAAATTGGATGAGGTTGTTTCTTCCTTTTATTTCGTTTTTTTTTTTCGATTTTTGGATTTTTTTTATAATATGCCAATGTATTTAATTTGTTTTAAACTATATAGCATATGCAGCTATACAAAGAAATTTACCAAGTACTTATTTGCTCTGAAGAAAATGTACTATTACTTACATACATACATATATAAAATACGGATTGTAGCTTCAAATTTTGCTTGCGCGCAAAGTAAAATTTCATACGCATATTTTTCTGAATACAAATCATTTAATTCCCTTTTTATTACAATATTATTAGGTACCTTTTTAGTAATTAAATGTGAAAAATAAAGAAAAAATGCTTTTTCATTGTAGAAATCATTGAATATTAGAGTTTTCAGTCGATTTCAGACATAAACTTCCTTCCTTCCATACAGTCATTAAAAGTATGTGTGACAGTTGTTATCGAATAGAATAGTTTTTTTTTTTTTACATAATATATTCCTAAAATTTTGTTTTTAATATCAATATATTGTTCTAGTAAAAAGTAATCCATTATTTTTGCATTCAATTGAAGACTTTATTTGCCATAGTTAGAATTATCCAACAATCGTTTTTCAAAAGCTTTTCTTGAGTACAATTCCAAACCAAACGCTTTGGATACTCATCGATTTTGTTACGAATTAGCAGCGATTCGCATAAGGCAACTCGCTCCTTGATGTTTTTTCTCGCAACTCATGTGGCACCCATAAATCGAGATAATCAAATGGTCCGAAATTTATTTTTGTGCAATGTTTAGCACTTGAGCAATCGGAACAGTGCCCGCTTGGCAGTCAGACTGGACGATTCGCATCATCTTCGATAATTGGCCTGCTACACCGTGAAGCAAGTTTCAGATCACAATTACCGGTACGAAATCGACGAAACCGAAATTGTGTATGATTGACTGTTATAGTGGCAGGATCATATACAATACTCATATTTTCAGCTGTCTGGCTTGCGTTTTCACCTGTGTCGAAGAAAAATTTTGGAATATAACTTAATTTCTCTTTGCTGATGTTCTTTGACATGCGCTCATACACTACTGAATTAAGTTATCAGCAAAATATCATATTTCTAACGTAATATAAAGATCACTAAAAGCATCTATAGCAAAAATAATGGATTACTTTTTAGTGTGTCTTATTGTCTTTAGTAAAAAAAAAATATTATTTATTTTTCAAGTACTACTAGGCATTTTTTTGTATTCATAGCTGTGTATTTTACGCTATTTACAGGTTCTAAACCATTTCTATTTTGGCCATGGCCGTTTTAGATTATTGAAAATTAATTTAATATGTTGATAAATATTTTAAAAATTAAATTATGGTGTAATTTCCAATATGTTATTTCGCGGCTTATATAGAGTAAAGTAGTTTTACTGCCTTTTACTGATACCACTGACAACAAGTCTGAAAAATATGGTTTCGAAATATACCCTCCTTGGCAAAAATCTACGTTGTAAATTCTCTACATCTAGTTAGGAGACCTAAAAAAGAGGTTTTTCAAACATTTTTCGCGAGGAAACTTTTAGCTTTATTATTTTGAGCATTTGAACACATATAATGGCACCTTTGAAGAGTAGTTAGAAATTTTCTATTTATAAAAATAATTGTTTTTGAAGCTGCTACAGCAGATCTCCAAGGACCCCTCCCAAAACAGGCGTTTTGCGGTGACCACTGTATTTCTGAAGCGAATCATCTGAAATGAAAAAATCGAACGGATTTCGTTAAAGTAATGTATAATCTTGTGATTAATCGATGGAATAAGCCAAAAATTTTTATTTGACAAAATGACGGCTTTTAAAAAAAAAATCAATTTTTCTCCATAATTTTGGTCTTGAATTGCGGATTAAAAAAAAACTTTTCATCAGTAATGGAAAAGCTTCGATTAAGTACTAGAAAATATTGTTCAAAAGCCTGTGTAAAAATTTGAGACTAATCGGTTTAGCCGTTCCCGAGAAATCTTGGTCACCGACTTGAAAAACATAGTTTTGAGAAAAACGAGGTTAAAGTTTCAAAAGCGTTTCAAATGCTCTGACGCGTCGTTACAGATATGCCTGTAACTTCCAAAATAACAGTCGGATCGACTTGTAGTTTTCAGAGTATTTACTTGAAGACATGTACATTTCGAAAATGAAATTTGAAAAAAATCGATTTTTTTGAAAATTCTAACTAGAGTAACCCCTTAAAATTCGTTACACTTAATATTTTTGAAGTGTATCTTCACAGAAAACACCTTCAAAATTGCCATATGTGTCCCGCAGCAGCTTATTTTCTTGATAGAATATACTTTTCCAACTAATTTCCCTGATGGTTTTTTTTAATGTTTAAATACGTAGAAATCCAGTAACAGCATTGAATATCTAGTATAAATCGAAATGCTCACTCAACTGCTATCACATCGAACTCATATTCATGTAGCATTCATTACTCATGCTATTTATTTGCAATTTTAGCGCAATTCGTAGTTGACAAGCGAGTAAATGCTCAAACTCCAAGCACAATTCTAATAATATAACCTTAGCCCATAAATATTTTTGCTAACTCCCACAACAGTTTTGAATTAAATTTATTTATGGAAATGAAAATGAAATCACTTAAAATTTCTCCCCAACACTCTATAATGGAGTTTAATAAAGTTTAAGGTCACTTTAACGCTTCATAGTATTTTTATATATACATACATATATACTGTTTATGTTTACATAGCTATTGTGCTTTTGCAAATAATTTCATTCTTATTTTTTTTGATGTACACGCTTCCCAGTTATTGCAGCTTTTCCAAATTTTCGCTAAGGCATTTCTTTGATGAATTGTTTTTCTTGTTCTCTTAAAAAAAATATGAAATGCAAAAAAAAAGACTTTGAATAAGAAAAACTATGCATATATTATATTTAAAAAAAAAAATTCAAGACCATCAAAATCGTACATCTCAAAAAACATTAAATTCATGCATCTAAAGCGAAAGGATTATATCGTGAAATTTTAATAATTATATATACATGCGTATAGGTTTATCAAATTTTTTGTTTGTTTTCAAGTAAACATCTCAAGGGTATTCACGAAAGGATGTGCTATTAATGAATGCGCCGAAATGTAGGCAACGCAAGTTTTTTCATTTTTTATTTCTTATAAATTTAAGCAATTGGTGAGCAAATAAATAATAGAAATGTTTAAAAACAGGATAGCCTTGGATTCGAGTTTTGGTCCGACCAACAAATAAAAATTATAAAAAATTAATCTAAATAAAAAACTAAGTTTGCTTTTTTAAGCGCGTCGGCATAGAATGTAAACCGCTTCGATTGTATTTCTTGCAAAAAAAAATCCATAAGTTGTTTCGAGGCGGTCTGTTCGTCCTTCTAATTGTCACAAAAACATCAAAACTATGGCATAGGAGGAGCAGCTCGTTCGATAAACACTTTAACTAATTATAAGTAATAATATAATAAAAATAAGAAATTGCTTCTTACATTTAAGCGCAAGGTTCAGTTACAATCAATTTGGTTATTGTCCATTAAGATTGTAAAATTAAAAAAAAAATTAATAACAATAATTCAAAATAAAAATTTTTCAAAAAAATGCCAATTTAAGATAAAAGTCGTTGGCTGTAATAAAGATAGCTATTTTTAACAAGAGCTTTTCGTTGTATTTAAAAAATAAGACGTAAATTGTTGCCTACATTTAGGCGGACACATTATAAGGTACATGAATACACTTCAACCATCAACCCACAAATTGTGCACATCTTTTTTCCTTATTTGGAGAATTTTGAGAATAAAATTAAAAAAAAACATAAAAACATACTTATTTAATACCTAATTTGATTTTAATTTAAATCTTGTTACTTCTGTTTACTTTTATTACTAAATTTTAAATGAATTTCTATGTCCAACTATCTTGAAATCTTTCAATTCTTTTTTAAATTTTTTACCATTGCAACTTTCTATTTTTCTTCGCTCTCTACTAAACTTGTACCTTCACCTCTTCGAACCAACTTTTAAAAATAAACTACTACTACTACTACAACAACTGTATAACAACAATTCGCTTATAATTTAATGCGTATTCGCTTGCGCGCTCAAAAATTAAATCTTCTAATGCAACGTTGTTTCTATTCTCAATCTAATCAACCAACCAACTAACCAACCAATCAACTAACTATCTTAACAAACGCCTAAAATCACCCAATATACATCAGGCTCTATTTTGTCAGGTAAAAAATAAAAATAAAAATAAAAACAATAATCAATTGCAAATATTAGCGTGAAGCTTGAAAGCAAGAAAAACTTAGTTCATTCGCTCGTTCGTTCGTTCGTTCACACTGCAATTACAAAGTTCAAAAATATTCGTACAAGCAATCTTAGCATCCTAATTTGAATTGATTTGAATTTGTTATAAATATATTTGTAAAAAAGTTTATTTCAAAGAAATGATAAAGCATTATTTTTTACATTAATACTTTTATTGCAAATAATTGAAACCTTTTAAACGCTTATCAGACAATTATTTAGAAAACAACAAAAGAAAATATACGAACAATTAAATAATTAACATTAAAACAAAAAAAAAACCGCCAAAACAAACTCAACTCAAATCAAAATACTCAACAAAAAGTGTGTAAAGTACTGTGCCGTCATCTTCTTTTCTAAACGCACTAAAAAAAGGATAACAACCTATGTATGAATACACCACAAACCAATTATACATATAATATGCATATATATATAGGCGTGTGTGTCAAAGTTGCTACATATATAGTTAGTATATAGAGTAACCTCCCAATAAAACAAGTGTCTCGTACTCGTACTCGTAGCATTTAGCTCGTCAAACAAACAATAAAAGATAAACACTTTCATAAAAAACCTT